TCATGACTTATATTTGAAATGTGGGGGTATTCTAGAGCTCTTTGAGACTTTCGTGATGAGGCATTTTCCATATGGTAAGCTAGGCAATCATTATGCTAAAGTTACATAAGTGATGTTTTTAATAATGAGTATTTTTTGGTTTTCAAACTGTTTGTATAGGGTGAAATCTTTGCTTAAAACTAGGGGAAAAAAAAGCAGATTTAGTCTGTAATTAACCAGAAATTGCCATTAGATTTATCCTTAAAGCAATCATATCTATGTGTTAAATAGTTTATGATTGTGAGCCAACTTCTTGACCAAAATGTATATCGATCAGTTCCTTGTGGAGACTTTTTATTTGCTTAGGCTATATCACCCATTTATTATCCTATTTGTTTAGGAATAATGTAAGATTATTTTAGTTTAGTTACTTGTAAAAATGAGGATTAAAATTTAGCACAGCAGAATTGGTTGGTAAATCTCAGCCTCTAGTTAAGCATAATTAAAATAGGGACATTAATTTGAAGTTTTTAAAAAACTAGGAGATGTGTTTTAATACAAGAATGAGAAATCTGCTTGATCAGCTCTAAGACCTATGAGGTGATAGTTCACCTCTGATTATACCCCTTCTGTTAATTGTTATTTTGTTACCTTGTTAATTTATCCCTTCTAAAATAACACCTGAGATTTCCTACTATTTAAAAATGTGTGAGTTACTGTTTTTTGTTTCAAAGGGAAAAAAACCCAGGTACATTCCTTGTGAGAAGAGACAGTGTTCCCAAGTGGAAATGTCACTGGAGTAGGAGTCAGCCTGGGTTCTGGTCTTGCCTCAGTATAATCTTGTGCAAGTCTGTAGGCATCTTTTTCCTTATTTGTTACTAAACAAAACAAAAGCCCTACCTATTTTGCAGTGTTTCTTTGCTAATTAAATGAGAAAATATACTTTGTAAATTATACAACTACATATGAAATGCAATGCATTCTGTTAATATATTTTTTGAGTCAAAGTTTCTCAATTGAGAAATGTTTTCCCACCAACTTAAAGCTTTTATGTCTCTACTCATGTGGTAAATTTTAGCAGCAAATGTCTAAACTCATTGATTAATTGGGAGGGGTTGGGTTTTTAGAAAGTGATAGTATGATAGAAAGTATGTTGGATTTAGAGCTAGAAAACCTGGGTTCCAGAATTCTCCCCTTCACTTACTAGCTCTGTGACTTGGGCAAGACGCTAAACTTCTCTGAGCCTTCTAATTTTCAGAATTCTAAAATCTTCTAATTTTCAAAATGCCAAGTAGCTCTCAGGGTTGTTGTTAGGAGTAGTTGAGTTAAATAGAAGAAGTTCTTTTGAAAACCCTAAAGCAAGATTTGATAAACTTTTTCTGTAAAGGATCAGGTAGTAAATATTTTAGATTTTGCGGGCCAAGGAGTCTCTGTTGCATCAACTCAGCTCTACTGCGGTAGCAACCATAGACGATATGTAAATGAATGAGCGTGGCTATGTTCCAATAAAACTATTTATGAACACTGAAATATGAATTTTGAATAATTTTCATGTGTCATGAAATACTATTCTTCTTTTGATTTTTTTTCAACCATTTGAAAATCTTTCTCAGCTCATCTGCTGCACAAAAACAGGCAGTGAGGTGAGTTGGGTTTGGCCTGAGGGCCGTCTGTACTTTGGCAATCACTGTTATAAAAGGTTAGGCAGAGTAAGGTGTTAATTAGGGATGTGAGAGTAGGTGATTGATAAATAGGAATTGCTTAATTTTTATGATGAAAGAATATGGAGGTGGTTTCAACCCCTTTTCTAATTTGGACCCAGGATTATTTTTCACATAAAATGGGCGTCTTTAATTGAGGAAATGACCTTGCTAAAGCAAAACTGGAGGATGAAAGTGAGGAAGAAGATCATTTTAGTGTTATAAACTCACAATGACTGTGATGTGGTTGTGCAGTGTATGTGTTTCTGTGCAAGTCAGGGTTGTATATAGTGTGTGCATGTGGCTCCAAGTCATATGTTACCCCATATTATGAGTAGTTAAGAGTGGACTTAGGAGTCAGATGTCTGGGTTGAATTCTGGCCCTGGTTTTTACTTGCTGTGTGATCTTAGGCAAGTTAACTTAATTTTTTGAGCCTAGTTTCCTCATTTGTAAAATGGGAATAGAAATATTATTTACCTCAAGATTCTTGTGATGGTTACATGAGAAAATGCATGAAAGGGCTTACAGTGCTTGGCACAAAACACTCAATAAGTGTTAACTGAGAATATTCATTTGAATACATGTTGTACATATCTTATTTGTTTTGTCCTTCCTTCAGTTAGTTTAGGAAATTATAATATCCTTAACTAGTTCTTTTGTACAGGTTGTTGATGGACAATTCTGCTTTAAAGTATTAAAATAATATAGAGGTAGATTAAACCTTAAAGTCCCCCTTTACCCAATGTCCTGCCCTCCTGGTGGGTAACCATTGTTAAGAGTTGACTGTGAACTTGTACAGTCCTTTTTCTCTGTATTTACTTGCATATGTATATGCATATACAAATAAAAAACACGTATTTTATGACTTGCTGTTTTCCCAAAGAATATGATTTAGGGCTCTTTTCACGCCAGTATGTCTGTTCACTTCATTCATTTGAGTGGATACATAGTATTTCGTACTACATGCTTCTTTAACCACTAGGATCAGTTTAGAGCATATCCTTCCAGTCTTTTTTTATATGCATCTACACATATATGAATACATTTAGAAATATAAAGTTTTGTGGGTTTTTTTTACATAAATGATATAGAGAAGTAATGTACATGTACTATAACTTGCTTTTCTCACTTAAGAGTGTGTATGTGTAGGAGAGTTTTATACGTCAGTATATATCCATCTCTTATTTTTTAAACAGATGCGTGTTACTACTAAATATAGATGTACTGCTGTTTATTCCATTATTCTCTTACAGATGGATATTTAAGTTCTTTTCAGTTTTTTTGCTCTTTCAAACAATGCTTCAGTAAAAAATCCTTGTACATACATAGTTTTACACGTACAAAAATATTTTTCAAGTAGATTGTAAGAAGTGGAATTGCTGGGTGACAAATATGCACTAGATACTTGGAATTTGCCATATGCAAAGGCTATTCCAGTTTATCTGCCAACAGTGCATGGAGTGTCGAATTTCTTGTACACTTCTCAAAAGTGATATTAACAGATTTTTTTGCTTATCTCTTGGACAAAAAATGATATTAAGTTGTTTGAATTTGCATCTCCCTGCTTCCTAAAGAGTTTGAGCCATCCCCAATCATACGTGTATTGGCCATTTGTATTTCTTCTCACTGATTTTTTTAGTTCTTTATATATTCTAGATATTAATGCTTTGCTATACATGTTGCAAATGTTTGCTCCCAGTCTGTTGCTTATCTTTTAACCTTGTTCATGGTCAAATGGCCAAATGTATTAGCTTTTTTGTTAATGGTCTTGCATTTTGCCTTTTTAAGAAAGCCTTTCTTCAGATTAGAAATATGTTCTGCTGTGTTTTCTTTTAGTAGTTATATAGTTTTGGTTTTTACATTTAGCTCTCTAATCTACCTGGAATTTATTTTTGTTTCTGGTTTTAAGTGGGGCTTTAAATTTCCCCCAAAATGGATAGCCAATTATTCTGACACTAGTTACTATGCTATCTGTTCCTCACACATTTGAAATGCCATCTTTCCCGTGCACTATACTCCCATACATACATGTGTCTGTTTCTGTACTGATTCTTGTTCTCCCTTAGTCCATTTGTCTATTTCTGTGTTGAAACCACATTGTTTATCTTACTCTAGCTATATTATATGTAATATCTGGTAAAGCAAATTCTCCTCGTTCTTTCTCAAGATTTTCTTTGCTTTCCTTGTGCTTTTTTAAAATCAGCTTGTAAATTTGGGACAAAAACATCTCTTTGGGATTTAGATTGGGTTTGCATTGATTTTGGAGTAATCTGGGAGAGGGGAGTTTGTGAAGATGCTGATAATGAGTCTTTCTACCAAAGAAAGGTATATTTTATGTACAGTGCTTCACTAAAATTTTACAGTTTTCTTTATATAAGTCTTGCATATTTCTTCTTGAGTTTATTTCTAGCTGAATATTTTATAGCTTTGTTGCGATTATGACCAGGATAGTTTTTTTTTTTTTTAAATCACAGTGACCTGTCCTTCTGGGGCAGCCATCCCTTCTGACCCCCTCCTGGCGCCACCTTACCCCAGAGCCCTCACCTTAGGATAGTTGTTTTTTAATTACATTTTCTAATTGGTTATTGCTGATGTATAGCAGAATCGTTGATTTCTATTTGTTGATTTTGTCTTTGGCCTTTCTGCTGAACTTTTTTATTAGTTCCTATTATAGTTTTTTAGTTGATTTCCTTGGATTTTCTAGATAGATAATCGTATAGTCTGCAAGTTCTGAGTTTTGTTTCCTACTTTCCAATATTTGTAAGTCTTATTTCCTTAAGTGGTAACAGTGATAATAGAAATTCTTGGCTTATTCCTAACTTTAATTATTGTTTATGTGAAAGATACTTAACCTCACTCATAAGATAAATGCTAATTGAAACCACACAGTTTCCTTTTTTAAACCTATCAGAGTGTTAAAAATCAAAACGTTTGATAACACCTTTTTTCTTGTCAAGGCTGTGGGGTAAAAGACACTCTCGCACATTGCAGGTGGGAGTTTAAATTGGTACAATGACCATGGATGGCAGTTTGGCAGCTTTATATAAAGATGCAGATGTATTATGTGTACTCTTCTGGCTATATTAGTGTACTTCAATAAAAGTTAAATATGCAGATTTCCTTTGATCCAGCTGTCCCATTTCACGGAATTTACATGTATGTGTATACACACACACATATGCAAAATGAAATATTCAGTGTTATCTGTCATAGCAAATAATTGAATACTATATAGATATTAAAAAATAAGAATGAGGAACCTCTGTGTACTGACAGGGAAAAAAATTTCTTAAGTTATTATGACTATTAAAGCAAGCTTGGTATATACTATGCTTCTTTTTGTGTAGAAAGGGAGGGAGAGGGAGAACGTATATTTATGTTGCTTATTTACCCAAAGAAACTCCAGAGGGCTGCACAAGAATCTAATGAGTGGTTGGGGGAGTGGTGGGAACTGAATGGATAGGAAACAGGGTTGGGAGTGAACCTGTCCATTATATATCTCTATCTTTTACTTTTGAATCTTATGATTATATTTTTAAAAACTAAATTAATAATGGTTTCTTGAATTGTTTCAGCTGCTCCAAGGACATTGTTTTCTTTTTCTTGATCTTTCTCTTCTGTGTTAAAGATTTTCGTCAAATGGCTGTCTCCTGATTCTGTTCGTATTTAAGAATGACCTAGTAGAAGGGCTAACTGGGAGTTCTGTGTACCTCGGTAGAGTACACAGCCTACAACTGGTAGGCTTTATTTTGGGATAACTAGGTAGGAAGCTGGCTGTTACACTTGGACGGCCCAAATGCCAGAGGGCAGAGGCCTTTGCTTTGGGGCACCCTTATTCTTCCCAGTTTGTTGAATTTGGTATTCTGCAGGCAGGGATTTCTTTCTTTCAGGGGGAGAGTTCATCAACTGTATCATAATTCAGACCTTCAGTTAATCCCTGTTTTCAGCTTTTTTCTCACTCTGGCTCTTTTTGGGATCAGTCTTTGCATGTGGAGTCCCTCTGGAGTTTTGCCCCGCAAGTCTGCTCCCTCCTAGGTTGGAACCCTTTCTATTATATACTTTAGATTGGAGCATCCTTTGATTTATGTTTTCAGTCAGTTCTTTCCTGTCTTCTCTCTGTCAGAAATTGTTGAAATCTTGTATTTGCTATGCCATTTTCCATTCATGTCCTTGACTTGTGATGTATACGTTTATGTTCTTTTCCTATCGCTTTTCCAGGGTCTTGAAAAATACAAGAGAGAGAGGGATTCACTTCACCTTCTTGAACCAGAAGTCAACAGTAGTATGTCTTAAACTTTGATAAACTGTAGGCTCCTTGAGGACAAGAACTGACTTTTCTTTTATCCCCAGACGCTGACACAGTACTTGGCACTTGGTAAATGTTTATTCTCATGAATATGCATATGTGTGTGTGAGAGAGAGAATTGCTAACGGAAAATTTACTGTGTAATTTTGATTATTTAAATATGCATTCTTTCAATTGCTGGTTCCCAAATTTGAAGAAATTCTTGAGTCATTGATTGACAAAGTACTGATTGTGTGCTGGGTTTCCCATGGATAGAACCACAAAAAGTTACAGGGGAAAAATTATTTTGAACTTTTAACTCAACTGCTCCAAGCTTATATATCAAACATGTTGAAAGAGTAGATATAGGGTGCAGATTTGTGAGATTTTTCCTATTATTTCAGTCTCTCTAGGAGTGGTTTTGCAGTTGTATTTATACATATTCTTAGGGCTTAGATTGCTGTGTTACCATTTTATGAAGGAAAAAAAATGGTCACACACAGGTTATGATATATAGCTGTTGAACTCAGAAAGAAACTTCAGGTTTAAGGCTTGATTTTTGTGGCCTATTTCACTGAGCTGTGTTTTTGCATTGCTGAATGTAGAAGAGAGATCCTGGTTACTGAAGCATACTCCTTTAGCTATACCAACATGGTTTATTACTGGAAAGCTTTAAAAGAGTATATTATATACATTTTGGCCTTACTAAATAGAGTCTCCTGAAAATCATTTAATGTTTTCTTGAGTATTTTTGATGCTTTAATATGGTGCTTTAATATAGTGCTGCTCCTATGGGTTATTAAGAGGTAGAAAAAAAAGCTTCCATTTATTGATTATTATATTGTGCCAAGCACCATGCTAAGTAGTTTATATGATAATTTTCATATCAATCCTGTGAGATTTCACAAATGAAATTAAGAATGAATGAGGTTAAGTAATTTGCCCCAAATCTCTGAGGAGTGAGAGGCAGAACCAAGATTTGATTCCAGGTTTATACTACTCTAAAGCCTGTGTTCTGAAACTCTGTTTTATGGTCAAGAAGCTATTGGATCTACGATGAAAAGGCCCCGGAAAAGGCTTAGTGAAGGTCTTGGCTTATTTTTTTTTAATTTAGTTCATAATAGTTTAAATCAATGTGAAATTTCAGTTGTACATTATTTCTTGACTGTCACCACATAAGTGCTCACCTTCACCCACTGTGCCCACCCTCCACCCACCTTCCCCTGGTAACCACTGAACTGTTTTCTTTGTCCATGTGTTTGTTTATATTCTACATATGAGTGAAATCATCTGGTATTTGTCTTTCTCAGACTGGCTTATTTTGCTTAGCATAATTCCCTCCAGGTCTTTCCATGTTATTGCAAATGGGATGAATTTGTCCTTTTTATGGCTGAGTAGTATGCCATTGCATATATATATACCACATCTTCTTTATCCAATTATCAGTCGATGGGCACTTGGATTGTTTCCATGTCTTGGCTATTGTCAATAGTGCTGCAATGAACATAGGGGTGCAGAAGTTACTTTGGATTGTTGATTTCAAATTGTTTGGGTAGATACCCAGTAGTGGGATAGCTAGGTCATATGGAAGGTCTATTTTTAGTTTTTTGAGGAATCTCCATACTGTTTTCCACAGTGGCCACACCAGTTTGCATTTCCACCAGCAGTGTATGAGGGTTCCCTTTTCTCCACACCCTCTCCGACATTTGTTATTTTTAGTCTTAGTAATTATAGCCAATTTAACAGGTGTAAGGTGGTATCTTAGTGTAGATTTGATTTGCATTTCCCTAATGATTAGTGATGTTGAACATCTTTTCATGTGTTTATTGGCCATCTGTATATCTTCTTTGGAAAAATGTCTGTTCATATCCTCTACCCATTTTTTGGTTGGGTTGTTTGTTTTTTATCCTTCAGTTGTACGAGTTCCTTATATATTACGGAGATTAACATCCGGTCAGATATATGACTTGCAAATATTTTCTCCCAATTGCTGGGTTATCTCTTTGTTTTGATTCTAGTTTCTTTTGCCTTGCAGAAGCTCTTTAGTCTGATGAATTCCCACTTGTTTATTTTTTCTTTTATTTCCCTTGTCTGAGAAGACATGGTATTTGAAAAGATCCTTTTTAGTTCGATGTCAAAGAGTGTACTACTGATATTATCTCCCAGGAGTTTTATAGTGTCAGGACATATCTTCAAGTCTTTGATACATTTTGAGTTTATTTTTGTGTATGGCATGAAATAGTGGTCTACCTTCATTCTTTTGCATGTGGCTGTCCAGTTTTCCCAACACCATTTATTGAAGAGACTGTCTTTTCTCTATTGTATGTTCTTGGCACCTTTGTCGAAGATTAGCTGTCCGTAGATGTGGGGTTTTATTTGTGGGCTTTCAGTTCTGTTCCATTGATCTGTGTGTCTGTTTTTGTATCAGTACCATGCCATTTTGATCACTATGGCTTTGTAGTACACTTTGAAGTCAGGGATTGTGATACCTCCAGCTTTGTTCTTTTTTCTCAGGATTGCCTTAGCAATTTGGGGTCTTTGGTTGTCCCATGTGAATTTTAGGATTCTTTGCTCTATTTCTGTGAAGAATGTCATTGGGATTCTGATTGGGATTGCGTTGAGTCTTTAGATTGCTTTGGGTGTTATGGAGGTTTTAGCTATGTTTATTCTTCCAATCCATAAGCAAGGAATCTCTTTCCATCTCTTTTGTCATTATCAGTTTCTTTCAGTAATGTCTCATAGTTTTCATTGTATAAGTCCTTCACCTCCTTGGTTAAATTTATTCCTAGGTACTTTATTCTTTTAGTTGCGATTGCAAATGGAATTGTATTCTTGAGTTCCCCCCCTTCACTCTGAGCCTGCATTTGTCTTTTGAGCTGAAATGTGTTTCCTGGAGGCAGCAAATTGTTGGGTCTTGTTCTTTAATCTATCTCACCACTTTGCATCTTTTTATTGGAGAATTCAATCCATTTACGTTTAGTGTGATTATTGCTGTATGGGGGCTCAATGCTGTCATTTTATCACTCGTTTTCCAGTTTCCCTGCATTTCCTTTATTTCTCATCCTGTGTGTTTTGGTCTAGCCCTTGAATTATGTAGTTTTGTTTGATGCTTTTCTTTGGTTTTTCATTATTTATTATCTGTGTCTCTGTTCTGCTTTTTTGTTTAGTGGTTACCCTGAGGTTTGTATTCAGAATCTCGTGTATAAGACAGTCCATTTTCTGGTGGCCTCTTATTTCCTTAGACTAAACCGATTTAGTCCCTTTCCTTCTCCCCTCCTAAGGTGTTTTTCTCATATCTTATTCCAACTTGTGTTGTGAGTTTGTGGTTAAAATAACAAGGTCGTCTTTGTTTTTGGTGTTTTCCTTCACTTTAGCCTAACTCTGTAGTTGAATATTTGCTATCCTTTTCTGATTCTGTCTACCTATTTATCTCCTTACTCTGTGTTCATGACCCCTTTTTCCCTTTTTTTCTTTTTTCGGGTATGAGGGCCTTCTTGAGGATTTCTTGTAGGGAGCGTCTCTTGGCTACAAAGTCCCTTAGCTTTTGTTTGTCTGGGAAAGATTTAATTTCTCCCACATATCTGAAGGATATTTTTGCTGGATAGTTTGTTCTTGGCTGAAGATTTTTGTCTTTTTTTTTCTGGGAGATTAGTCCTGAGCTAACATCTGCTGCCTATCCTCCTCTTTTTTTGCTGAGGAAGACTGGCCCTGAGCTAACATCTGTGCCCATTTTCCTCTACTTTATATGTGGGATGCCTGCCATGGCATGGCTTGCCAAGCAGTGCCATTTCTGCACCCAGGATCCGAACTGGTGAACCCCCTGCCATGGAAGCAGAATGTGCACATTTAAGTGCTGCACTACCAGGCTGGCCCCCAGATTCTTGTCTTTTAAAGATTTCAATATGTCATTTCGTGCTCTCCGAGCTTGGACGGTTTTTGCAGAGGAATCTGCTGAAAGCCTGATAAGAATTCTTTTGTATGTTAGTTTCTTTTGCCTTGCTGCCCTTAGTATTCTTTGTCATTCATTTTTGCCAGTTTTACTACTTTATGCCTTGCAGTAGGTCTTTTTACATTGTCAAATCTAGAAGATCTGGAAGTTTCTTCCACACAGATTTCCCTCTTTCCCTTGATTTGGGAAGTTCTCTGCTATTATTTCTTTGAACACGCTTTCTGCTCCATTCTCCTTCTCTCCACCTTCTTGAATACCTATAATTCTTATGTTGCATTTCCTCATTGAGTTAGATATTTCTTCGAGACTTTCTTCATTTCTTTTTAGTGTTAGTTCTCTCTTCTCTGTCTGGAGCATTTCAACATGTCTATTTTCGATTATGCTGATACGCTCCTCTGTGATGTGCACTCAAGCATTCAGGGAATCTGTATTATTTTATCTCTTCCCTTGTGTCATCTCTAGTATTTCTGATTGAATCTTCTTTATAGTTTCAATGTCTTTTGTGAAGTAGCTCCTGAACTCGTTGAATTGTTTCTCTACATTCTCTTTTACCTTGTTGAGTTTTTTGATGATAGCTATTTTGAATTCATTGTCATTTAGCTTACATATTTCTCTGTACTCAGGACTGAGTTCTGGGTGCTTGTCGTTTTCTCTCTGGTCTGGAGATTTGATGTAGTGTCTGATGTTGGAAAGTCAGCCCTTTCTCATTCTGATATTATTTGGTTGCAGTTACTACCTATCGCCACTGGGTGGGGGTTGAGAGCCACGTATTCTGAGCCCTCCACTTTCACTCAATATCCCAGGCAGTGGAGCAGCATGGCACAGGACTGGTAGGGGGAGGGGCACTTTCTTCTGTGGGCACTCCGGGCTTTCTTGATTCGCTCTCGCTATCTGGTCTCCTGGGATCTTGGCTTGAGGAGGTTATCCCCCGTGAAAGCTTTTGCCCCATTAGAGGGGCTTCTCTCTAGTCTTCACGGGCCCTAGGGTGTCCTTGGTGATCCTGCACACAAGCACAAACGTCCCCTTCCCGACTCCTTCCCTCACAGATCCTCCTGCGGCAGTGATCGCAGTCTTTAGGGGAGGGAGCGAAGTTGTCTCTTACCCCGTTCCAGCTCCTCTGAGGGGGGCTTCAGCCTCTCTG